TGTCTCTCTTCTTTGAAGGTCGGGACGTAACGTCATCATTGCTGCCACGCTTTCGCTTTGGTCCTTGGTCGCACGTTGGAAGCACAAATGGCATCAAGGCTGTCACGATCTGGACCGTGTGTGGATTCCACTCGTCGTTCGAGTCGAGATGTTTGAGATTGAGCACGTCCTAGGTGGATCAGCGGGTATCGATCACTGCAAGCGATGCGAGCTTACATCCAGAGTGAACATTTCGAAGAATTGCTCAACTCTGATTTTAATACCACTTGGGGTATTGTCGAGTAGAAATGAAGTGGCTTGGTCGTCCACATCCGGGTTGTTAGACGGCATTCTTCGGCAAATAGCCATGCTCAAGTCTTCGACCGTGGAGCTGAGATTTAGCTCCATGAGGTCATTCGGGTATACTTGTTGATCGATAGATAGCGTGTTCTGCACGTCTTCTCCTGATTGGTGGCAATGTTCGAATGGTGATATGATGGGGCCACCACAGCCGGCTATGCTTGTATCCGCATTCGTGGAGTATCCAGTTCTGTCAAGATCGGAAAGGAAGGACTGGTCGCCCGTGAACGAAGATTCGCCAGAAGCTAGTTCCACTAGTTGCGAGAAGGTGTCGAGAACCCCATGTTCATTCATAAAGCTGTGAACTTCGGCTGTGTCCTTCGGAGTGATGATGTCAAAGGGTGGACCCATAGTCGGGTCCGCACCCAAGTCGTTCGAGGTATGCGGGTTGCAGCCTATCGAATTCTTTCCCACTCCTTCCATTATTCCATGGGGGCATTCAGTCATCGTGGATATCGTGTGTGTGTAGCCTATCGCAGTCGTGAAAAGCGCCGGATGATTGAGGCAGCAATACTATTCGCGGATTCAATGATTATGGAAGCAGATAGAGGATGTTGAGATACGGTGGTGAAGGCTTCACAAAGATGGGCAACCCCGGATGCAAGAAGAGCTGGACGGGCTTTGGCCACGGAAGAAGGCACTCCATGGACGCAATTCCTGAAGAGCCATCTCGTAGAACAGCTGGTGCAAGACATAAAGCCGATTTCGCTGCGGCCTGGAATCCGTGGAAACGCTTTTGTGGACGAGGTTTGTGATGGGGTGCGTGATCAAAGCTGGGACATGGTCTGCCGGACCGTCTTGCGAACCATGATCTTTGTCATACCGTCAACAGGAAACGGATGATCAGGAAATTTGCGTCGCTGCGCAGCAAATCCGAGACATTGCGCATATATCGGCTGCGATGGATCTGTTCACGCAACGGAAGAAAGACGAGTCACGTGGCGATATGCGTGCATCTGTGAAGGTTGTGTGCTGTGGTGAGACAGGGCGCGCTTGGGCCTCGACTCATATCAGATACATTCGTTTCCTGCGAGGATGACGCAGGTTTGTACAGCCCTTTTCAAGTCCTACAAGTCTTCTAGATGTACGCGCTTTGCGCATTCGCGTACAAGGTTCCCTTCTCCTGACCAGCGATGGAGAGCACACGACAATTACGTCCTAAGGACTGCGTTATCCCATTCGGTCCCTACAAGAACCAAACGCTGGACCAGATCTATCAATCCGACTCAAACTACATTCGCCAGCTCATGAACACTGTGGAAGATCTTCGACCGTGGCCCGAACTTCATCGGATTATATCAGGGATCAAAGTTCGGCAGCATGATAACGACAAAGAAAACACCAAGCGTCAATCACCCCAAACGCGATCGGCTCTCGAAGACATTCATACTGTAGTGGCTGGAACATCATGTCTGCCCAAGAGTATACTTCGCCCCTCTGTTCGCACGCCAACATCATGTATTGCTACTGCTCCTGAGATCAACGCGCGGTCCAACGAAACAGTTCATCCGTACAAGATTGCTCAGCAAGAACAACGCCAATCGAGCTCTCGTATAACCCAAAGGCGGAACACACCCACACAAGCCAGCACTTCGAAATGTTCGGTGACCAAGCCATCGTCCGCCACTGTCACTATCAACCCAGAGCGGGCCGGATCGAAATGCCCCGAATGTCCAGAAATGGTCAACCAAAAGGGTCCACATTCGTCGGTCACCGCATCTCTACCCGTTCCTGGTGCGTTTCCAACAATAGACGATGACTTACCGCATGGAAGAGCCGCGCAAAAGAAGTCAATTCCGATCCAGGCGACGTCAGGTCCTTCCCACGTTACGAAGCAGCCAAAATTCGCCCGTTCTTCGTCTGCCTGGTCTTCCATGGAGGAGCGGGTCAGATCACCGAAAGGTAGCGCCAAGTCGACCGACCATCCGATTACCGAAGAACACTGTGATTCGATGCTGTCTAGGCCTTCACAGACATCCGATGCTGATCCTCCCATTGGAATTGACGACTACAATACTCGACGAACAAAGGCGCAGTCAGTCGACAGAGCTGACCCTATGCAGTCATGCGACGTTAATGTTACTGGCCAATCCAGTCGGCAAGAAGCTGAAGATGTCAACGTTATCACCCGAGAGCCAACGGTATCACCTATAGGTCTGAGACGAGCAAGACATGACACTCACGAGGTGGAACCGAGAAAGAAACGCCGGATGACCAGCTTGGAAGCCGTCGAAGACATTCACAGCCATGTTAGTAATCTGCAGATGCAGCTTCAGTCTACCGGTGGCTGGCTGTTCCAAAAGACAGACGACTCAGTCACGCGCGCTGCATCAAAATTGGAGACCAAAGTCGAAACGGCAACCACGGAGATCCATGGCCAGATACGCGACTTCCAATCCCAGATCAGCACGCAGGTCCGCGAGAGCTGTGCATGGTTACGTGATCAAGTTGTGCCAGCTAACCAGATCTTCACCAGTCTGCATGCACACATCTCGACCCAGTCCCAGAATCAATCAGACATACGCATGGCGCAGACCAAAAAACTCAACACTTCTATCAAGGCGGCGAATGGCCATATCCAATCACGGTTACTAAAGAACCAAAAGCGTCAGAACGTTCAGTTCATGGATGTAAGATCTCGCCTCAAAGGACTACGGGGTGAGCTGCAAAGAGTCGATGCAACCATTCAGCATCAAGGAAGCCAAATTCAAGCCGGCCTTTTGTCCAACTCATCCATGTTGGCACAAGAACTGAGGCTGGTTCAGAAAGGCCAGGAAACCTCGACACAACAACTACAAGACATCCACGACAGATCTCTGCCCACCGTATCTAGTCTAGGAGTCAATCCAAGTACCATGATGACAATGATACAGGGTATCTACGGCCAGCTAAACCCTGGCTCGGCTCTTGGAGATCCGCCGGCAGATGAACGCACCCTCTACCAGACCCTTAGCACGATCGAAAAGACAGTGGAGAGACTCGCAACTCATTGGATACCAACCTCGGAAGATGCCACTGAGCAAGCATCAGGACTGGCTCGAAGTGAGGTATCCGACAAGATCTTAACAATGGTGGAGCAGATTCACAGTCAGTTGGCCAGGGGCGACAGCCTTGTTGAGGAATCGAATGTTATGACTTTGGATGCGCCAAAAGATCAGATTGCTCAGTCCACTGGTGCTCAGTCTCTCTCACCAGAAGTTGTCCGAATGATGGAACAACATCATATGGCTGTGCTCGAGCGGTTTGAGCTTCTCGGGCAGCGAGTAGCTTTCACCCGCCCCGATTCTAGTCAGAGTGGTGTCGAAGAGATCGATTCCCTACTCGTCCAGATCGAAGATGCTCGTCGTGTTGAGAGCCAGATTGAACTTCACATCATCGGAGACCTAGAAGCCCAGCTAGCCCACGAACGGGCCGTCAACACGAAGTATCTGGTCAACGCAGCAGTCCAACGTTGTCGCAACAGGATCTCCTTGGTTGATGTAGCGCCAGCGGAGCAGTTCTGTGAAGATGATGGCTTATGGCTTCGCCCGTGGGAAGCAATCTCCGGGGTAATGGCGGAAGCTGACGCTCTCTTTGCCGAATCTAATCGACGGCACCTGGCACATGAGCTTCACTGTGAAAGACGCCGCAATGCCTTGAGAGAAACGCGGTTGCAATTCATACCCAAGCGGATCGATGTAGCCATCGAGTGGGAGCTTGAACTCGTCGAGTCGCAAGCCGACTATATCCAGCTCCTTACGAATCATGCCCCTATTTGCCCCGCAGACGATACTTCGCTAGCAATACCTGTCGATGGTTTGGGGCATACCCTTCCATCTGCGCTTCGTGCAGGCGCCCTTGGGCGAGATCTTCCTTCCGCATTGGACCTCGCTACTGATCTCTTCACGTTACAAGCTCAGAACGCTGTGCGGACAGCAGCAGAGAAGGTTCACGAAGAAGACTCTGCACGTCTTTTCAAAGGTCTCGAGGGTATGCGGAAGTATCTATCCATGCTTCATGGACGAAGTGATCTGGTATTGGTGAAGAGAGCGATAGAGAATTTGCAAGCGGGGAGGGAGTGGAACAGCGACAATTTGATGGGCGAGCTGAACCTTGAGGGCACTGTCGACGCGTGATAGATTGAACGAGAGCCATAGCAAGTCCTGATCATAGTCATGAGTAGTGTCTATAATGTCAAGTATTCTTTCCACCGTGCGACTGAACGCCATTGAGCCTCCACAAGTTCTTGGTATCAAGTGAGTAGCTCATGTACTGTGGGTCATTTTGGTAGACCTAGTATAAACTTCATTGCATCATTACATCTTAATAAGTCCAGACCGAGATGCATGAGTGCGACCATGAAGCGAGACATTTCCATGAGAAGTCGGTGTTGCACACAGCCCTGTCGTGCCTATCTCCTCGTGGTCCCTCCGTGCACACATCTGATGAGCAGCGTCGCAGGCATATGTTCGCATACTGTAATGCTTATCAAGTGCTATATAAACAGGCCCGCTCCAGCCCACCTAAGTTTCGACGTCTCCTCATTGAACTGCAACGTTCACCTCCTCTGAGCGACCCTCATGGCTACTCACCATTGCCGTGGAACTTGCAAGAACGGAACACCATGCGGTAACCATGCAACGCGGGTTGCTGGCATGGAAGATATCGGCTCGTCAAAGGCGATGGACACAACCCCAAACCGTTGCGCAAAGCATGTCGACCAAAAGAACGACTACAAGACCCCGACCAAAAAGCCAACACCATCAAGTGTCAAGAAGCCCATCGCAGCATCAACCTCATCGAGCTTCATGCCGTCTTCTCCTGGCAACAAGAAGAAGGCGACAATCGAGCCGAAGAGACGCAAACCATCAACAAGTATCTCCGTCATCAGCGAAACCAGCAGCGACGACGAACTAGCCTTCGAAGCCGTGGATACGCCAAAACCCAAGGGAATCATGAAGCGTTCTACACCAAAGCCAGAGAAGGACACCGTCAAGCCCAACGAATCTGTCAGTACTAGACGCCTCGCATCCAAGCGCCCTGTAGTACTTGATTCTGGAGATGAAGACGAGGTCACACCTCAGCCTTCATCGCGCAAACGAGTCCAGTTCCCAAGTCCGACCCCGTCCCGATATGGCAACGTCTCCGACCGGCTCAAAGCTGTTGTTGATGATACTGCTCATGCCGCTAAACCGAACGCGATCCGAGAAGCCCTTGCCACCACGCCTTCCAAGCTTGCGAAGCTTGCGAAGCCCGTCACCACCGCATCTTCCTCGACCAAAGGCAAGAAGCCGACAAACCACGCCATCAGCAACGCACTCCAGAAATCTTTCCCTCCGCCTTCGAATGATGGCAAGAAGGGTAGCCCACCAGCTGCTCCATCCTCCCGACCTCCAACTCCTACGACAAAACCCGGTAAGCAGTCCGCCGCCAAGAAACCAGCCAGCAAGACTGTGAGCCGAGTACGGAGCCCGGAGATGGGAGAATCTTCGTCGCATCCGATCCCATCAACCGAAGGAACCAGCATCTCGCCTCCAACCCGTCCACGTACCGCCGCCACCCCTACCCGAAAGTCACCCCGTACGCGCTACATTCAGCCCGAACTCCGGGTCCTCGACGGAGCACCAGTCCCTCTTCTTCCCAACGACCCTACCCTCGCTGCGCAAATGGAGAGTGTGCGTCGATCCGGTCTTCAGAACGCTGAGGACATACGTGAGTTACTGCTCCGGGTTGAGGTGTTGGAGAAGGCGCTGGAGGTGGTGGCTGGGGCGGACAAGCCAAAGCATCAAAAGCGTGAGCAGAGACAGAGGGAGAAAGGTAAAGAGAAGGACATTGAAGACGAGTTCATCTTCACTTGATGTCGCCATGGTGGTGGAAGAGACGGGAATGGGGAGGTCAGAGTGAGAAGATGCGGTTGCTGGTGTCAAGTGGAATTGAGCGTCTGGGATAGGTTGGGAAATGATGTATTGCTCGAAGGATAGAGGTGACCTTGGGTATATGTATTGGATAGCGCGGTAGATGGTATGAAAGATCGAAAACTGGACTTGATGTCAATCTTGTATGCAAACGTCCGCTCGCGGAACATTAGCGATGGACCATGGTAGCATAGTTCTCATACATACCATTGTCCCAAGAGTATCCCTCCGTCTTCCGCCCAGCCTCATAGCTCATTGCCATTGCCGGGTCCTCCGTCTCCATCAACTTCCTCATCCTCGTGATCAGCCATGTCCTCGACCTCTCTACCCACCAGCCCTATTCTCGCATCCATCCCACGACCCCACCGCCCCACCCAGCGTCCGAAATCTTCAGCCACCTCACTAACAATCTGGCCTGGGGTCGGGTCCTTAGGTGCAGGGTTGCCTAAGCCAACGACATCGTTTATCCAGGCATTGAGGTTGGTGAAAGAGCGATCAACAGGGCCCAAGGCACGTTCGGCGCGAGCGGTCCAGTTCTCTTGGTCTAGCGCGATGACGGCGTCTTGCTGCTGGCGGGACGGTGATGGCGGCGATGACTCTGGTGGAGAGGGTGACGGCGATGATGATTTTGGTGGAGACGGTGATGCTGGATTGAGTAGTACATTTGCAGGCGGGTCGTTGTAGTGCTGACGCTTGGTGGTGCGGTCTTCCAATTCTGTCTGTGGTTGCTTACGCTTTTCGCCATAACTTGGCTGCGGGGATGACGTTGAAGCAGCGTCTTGCTCCGTGTCATCAATGCTTGCTTCTCCGCCTTTAGCTGGGTGTATTGCCGCCTCCACTTCACCCTGTTTTTGATGATTCGTTTCAGCATCTTCACTTGCATCGACGAAATCATCGTCATCTTCGTCCGCATTGTCTTCCTCCTCTTCCGCTCCAACCAACCCACTCGCCCCCACCTGGGCTTTTCGCTCATCGTGAGCGAGCAAAAGAATCGCTCGATCGACCTTCTTAGTAGGCATTGGTGTAGGTTTCAGCTTGCGCCTGTTGATTTCTCGTCGTAAATTGTCGGACGTCCATGCCATGTACGCTTCCATGTTCGGAGACTTGGCTATTCTTCGACATCAGGAAACGTCGAAGTGTAAGTGGGAAGGCATCGAGCCTTGTTATATGTCGAGCTTGCGCTTGCTCAAGTTGGTTTGCTGTCCTTTGTTTACGTCACGTCGAAGCCCTGTCACATGCTGGAAGCATGAATGAGTCGAAGACCGTGGTGCTGGATGACTGCGACATGTGTCCGACAATGATAAGATATATCGGACAACAGCTTCCATTGTGTGTCATGGTTGAGATACGTACAGTAATGGTCGAAGACATGAGACAGACCTTGCCCATGGCAAGTGACATGCCGCCATATACCCGTCCTTCGACAATAGACAAGCAAGAACCGAGGTAGTCCCGGAGACGTGAAAGGGTCTCAAGTCGGTCGCATAGGCACGTGTGTCAGGCCTCATGGCAGAACGTCGTTGCCATTATCGACATGGGGCTTCATGTCGGCAGACCCAATACTGACGCCTTGACGAACCTGCTTGCCGACCTTCCATATCCATTGCTTCTTGTCCTCTGCATCCATATCTTTGGTGTGCGCCGGAAGAGTGGTGGTCCATGTCCGGGGGTCGACCGCTGTCAAGTAATGATCTAGATCATGCTTCGACATGCTCAGTACGTCTTGCTCTCCCTTCAGAGCTTCAAAAAGCTGATTCATCCAAGTCATCTGAGGTTTCTCTTTGTAGTAGTCGGTAGCATCACAGGATGCTGCAAAGATCTCGTGGCACACTTCCGACGGCAGTGGTTTTGTCCAAGCTTCGTACGCTTCGAAGATTGCGTTGCCGAGTGAATCGTTGAGGGGGTGAATACCGGAAGCGAGACTAGTGGCGAAATTGTCGTGGTAGATCCGTGCAGCGTCGCGAACGGTCTTGTGTAGATGATCCAACACGGCCTGGTCTTGGTGGGCGTTATGCACGTCAGGCGATAGGAATGTGGACATGTTGTGGTTCTTCCAGAGCTTCCATGAGCGGTATGGGCGGCATATCTTGGAGCAAGTATCAGACATAGCAGTAATGGTCGTAGTCTGGAGGCGATGAAACTGTGCGGTGTGATGAAGAGTCAGGTCGTGTAGTGATAGAGCGCGGGAATTGATAAGGCCAAGACGCCTGTCGATAGCTTTGGCACCAAAGGCTGGACCATGTGAGCGTAGCTCAGTGGACAATCGGACTGTCAGAGGCGGGATGTGGCTGCTCCGTATATTGAGCATTGTGAAACTCGCAGGATCGGTGCATTCATCGCTAGGGAGAGATACGTCGGGGCATGCGATGAGAGGGCAAGTACAAGACGGCTTGCCTATTGACCAGATGGGCTGTGCAAGGACCGCAAGGACCACGCCCAAGAGGCAGATGAGCAAGACGAGGACCCTGCTGCACCATCCGGTCGAGCGACGTCGCGAAAAGTTTGGCGTCTTGCCCCTCGCCCTGTGTATCTATTAGCCCCCATTCCCGAGTCGTAGTCGTCTCTATTTACGTGTGACTCTCGCGTGGGCGTAGACCTGTGTCCATGATCGATGTTTCGTGCGACGCGTTGGCTGTACTTGATTGGTGCGGCTGCACTTGTTCGGGCTGTCGAGATCGAGGAAGGTCGAAACGTGATGGAACAAAGGGAAGGAGGAAGATTAAAGAGCTTTGAGTTTTGGGGTGTCGGCATAAAGCTTTTCTTTGTGTAACGTTCCGAGGTTTGTTTGCTCTCTCAACCCCACGCGAACTTTGGCAACCATCGACCGTTGTTACATTGGCGTGAGGAGCGAGCTTCTGAACTTGTCGAGTCGGAAGATATCTATCGAGCAATCTTTTGAAATGGCGCATCAAACGTCGAGTAGAGCCTGGGTGACAGTTGTCACGCGAGATGAGGCTGGCAAGGTGATGAGCGAAACGCGACGATTCATGAGGCTCAGCAACGGTGCGTCTGGCTTCATACCCCCGTCTAATCTCGGATCAAACGAGTACTGACTTCTCTATTCCAGTGGAGCGCTTCTGCTTGGACAGCATCGTACACCGCGCAAATGCTCCAGCTGCTCGGCCATCCTCCAAATACCGCCGCCGCACGAGAAGCGAGCCAAGCTTACCCTCTCGAGATATTCACGAAGCCACACGCAGTGTATCGGGCGCGAGGCCTTCGGAGGAGCGGCGCAGACATAAGCTGGGAAGGCGGGTAAGAAATGTGGTCAAACGCCACGGGCGGAAGGTGGCAGCAGCAGCAGCTGTGGTCGGCGGCGTCGGCTGCATCGGCTGCATCGGCTGGCGTCTTTACTCCTGCTTGACTGCTGCACAGCCCGCGATAGCACCCATCGCAAAGAACGCCTACACTCTGCTGAGCATGCCGGAGCCTCTTGACGACCGATGGGTTCCTCCGCTGGTGCAGGTACGTAAGTACTGGCGAGAAGCAAACCGCTCGTGGAACGAGCGGATGTGGCAGGCACGCGGACTGCCGGACGCAGAGACAGGCCTGCGGGTATGGGAGCTCATGCGAGAGGCTTTCGAGCGCTTCGAGTCGTATTGGGAGGACCCCAAATCAAGAAGGGAAAAATATGGGCAGGCAGGCGGTACGCTGCACTCTGTCCTTGCGCGAGACCCGACATATAAAAAAGCAAGAGCGCTGTTGGCGGATACCTGTGTCGGAAAGAGGACTCTGCTGCAGGCGTTGACCAACGACGCCTCCAGAGCCTGGAGCGCTGCCTTGGGAAAGACAGCGGGGTCACAAAACACTACTCTTGCGGCACTGCAGGAGGCATGCCCCTGGACCTTGCGAATGTACCTGCAGCCGTATGCTCCGTCGCGCATCCCGCCTGCCTGCGTAGACCGATACTATCGCGAGACTCCAGGCATCAAAGCGATGAAGAAGACTACACCAGATGTTCCGTTACGATTTCTGCACGCGCTGGGCCGGCAATGTGACTTCCCTCGGTGGATGCCCCGGCATCCCTGGCTGTACGGATTATGGGGGAGAATGTTCCCGGAACCGAGATGGTGGGCAGACGAAACGATTGAAGCCTTGGGCGAGTTTGGCAAGGGCTGGGTTGTGCATAGCGACATTCAGCCCTGGTGTGTCATCGGCCGAGAAGAGAAACTCGGTCACACTAGGATGCGGTTGTAGAGGGGTGGCTGAGGTCGCGGCTGGTTCGTACAGACTGACGAGAGCGATGCAGTCCGCATGGGGACTGGATAGCTTGGCGCTCATGTGGGGTCGGATATCGGCTCACTGAAGCTCCGACGTTGCCGCAGGAAGGCACCCGCGCGCCATCATGTAAAATACTGTGATACCTCAAATCACCTTTTTTGAACTCGCAATGTCGTCGCATCTGAAGCATGCTGCTCTTTGTCGTGCAACCATTCTTGGTGCCAAACCTGATGATATCGTTTCTTGCCCGCACGTCTCCGAAGAGGCCCATCGACCCGCTGATACGTGACAACAACTAACGTGCGAACTCACCCACCATCTGCTAACAATCAGAGCTTCAATCAATCCCCGAGCAACGCCGACATATACAAGCCTTCGAGCGGGCTTGCGACCCGGCCACCGACTCAGACGCCATAATGACACTACCCATGCACCCGACAGTCACCCTACGCCGAACGACGTCGTATCGCGAATACGATACCAACCACGAGCTGCCTCGGCAAGCAGGACTCTGCTGCAGTCTGAAGGAGCCCTCCAAAAGCAACTGCAGACGTTCAACGCGCCCAATGACGGCATGGCGTATCTTGAGACTTACAATGCAAGTCGGCGCGTCTCATCACGCGGCCTGATCATGTTCAGGGTCAGAGGCATACATACATTTTGTCACTGCGCTGAACAGGCTGAGCTTGACGACATATGTTGATAGGTGGAGAGCGATCAGACTGTGTCTTCTGCATGCCGTGGAAAGCGTTCTGGATCAGATGGCTTGCCCAGACATCACTCGAGCGCTGCATGCCGCTGTGTCGGTCTCATGACATGGTTTGTCGTCTCGTTCTCTCTAGGCACATTCTTCATTGACATCGTCTCAGCATCCACTCCATTCTCACTCGCTTGTACCGCCTCCGAGGTCGTGCATCGTCCCCCGTGAACACGCTCATCGGTAACTTATCCCTCGAACGATCCATCATCCGCATAACCCCGCCCGCAGGCGACGTCGAAGAGCCCCGCGCTACACAGTCAACCGTGAAGGCCACGGAGAATACAAGCTGCATATGGGTGGAGGTGGGGTATAAACATGGAAGCTCGGCGGGCCCTGGATTCCCTTGTGCCGCAGAAACTCTCCCGCCACATCAAGATGGGGGTTACTTTCTTTGGGTGCGCGGGCGAAACTCAATTCCTTAGAGGACAACGCCTGAATCGGCTGGCGGGCGTGCGTCGTCACCACCTGTGCATCCTCACCCAGGCAGGATTCGTAGTCCGCGCGCAAGCGAGCTGCAGAACAGCGGCGCTTGACCAACAAGCCTAGTTACTCGCACTTTTGGAGAGGGTGCCAGTGCTACCGCGACAGAGCCTGCCGCGTGACTGTGCCCTGGCGTGCCGTGCCGTGCCGGCGTCTGCGGAAGGCGCCACGCTGGACGATCCCCGCTTGGTTGGCGGCCCACGCCCCAGCCTCGTTGTGCAAGAAACCTTAATTCCACAACCCCTGCAACAAAATCGTCGCTCCTACAGCTACCCCACTAATTATTGTCGATTTAGAGGCTGCGCACTGCCACATGAAGAGGGGACATTCTAGCTTGAGCTAGCTTCGGCGCCATTCCGGCTCCAACGCGCGACTTCCAAGGTCACATTGGGTAGCTCACTCCACGAACCCTGCGCGTCTACAACTGTGCCGTAGCCTTACCTTCATGAGAGGGTTCACAAATGACTCTTGCGACTTAACACGTCAGCACTACTAAGCAGACATTCGTGCTAGCTGTTGTACCTGTGCTCAATGCAGGCCGCTGGCTACCAGATGCCCACGTACTCTGCATACTTTCCTCACATCTACTTCATGTTCATTGTTTTGGTATAGCCTACCAAGAGCATGGAAACGACCCACTAACACGCCTCTTTCAAGGTTTGTGAGAGGCCGCTGGCTGTGTCGATAGACGTGTGGAGCCTTCTTTGCCACAACCCACTTCTTCATCACAACCCTTTGATTGGCTATAACCCTGCTAGACCTAGCTCTACATGAGTGGACGACAGTACAAAAATCGACGTGGACTACATGTCTGCCTGCCTTCTTCTTCGCTTATCCTTTCAAACTCTCTACTGCATCTATTCGGCGTATCCAGTCACGCTACAGCCCTCTGAGAATGGAATCCTTCCGCGATGCACTGCTAAGCCCGTTTCCCAAGGGCCCATCGGACATCACAAAGTTAGACGACAGCACTCACGACCGGCAGAACGTCCGTGAATGCATCGCCCGCGGGGAGATCGAGCAGCTTCGCCTCGGAGCCTTTACCAACCGAACCTGGATTATCAGTGACCGGTATTGTGCTGTTGGCGACGGAGTCGATTCTCTTGAAGGCTACCTGCATTCTATTTGGCACATCTACTATCAGCTTGGTCGGCTGGCGTCTCATGAAAGCGCTGACCAAGACCGCCTGGTCCTGGATATCGTCCGCATCCAGGGACTTGGCCCCCTAACTAGGCCTGTGTCAGGAAACTACGGCATCGATATCGCACGAACAGTGCAAGGCACGCTGTGGAATGACCTTCCCTTCCTGGCCACGGACATGACGGATTTCTGGATCAACAATTGCGCGCCCATGTCCGGTGTTCATCGCCTCAACTTGGCCTCCTTCTTAGCCAAGCTGGCGTCAACCCGCGTGGCCAACCACAAGATCTGCCAGATCGCTCTCGTCTTGTTTCGCTCCACACTTGAGGAAACACGAGCCCTTTGCAGCCCGGAGACGCCAGACGAGGAAGATCTATCTCGTGACATCCGCAGCCTTACAGTTGCGGATTTGCTGCCAGCTGCTTGCGCATGGATCAAAGGGGCCAACTACTGCCTCATCCAGTTATCCGACGCTTTCTGGAACGACTGCCCAGGCACGCTCAGTCAGGGTGGTCAAAACTTTGTTGAATCTGAGCTAGGAATGCGTTCGCCAATTGGGTTTACGCCGTGGCGATGGATGTACTGGCTGAAGCGTCTGCATGAGATTCGGGATGAGGCACACGCCGCCCATGAGGAGCGCCTGGAAGAGCACGCTACTGATGCCATCGAGCGCATGATCAATAACGTCAAAGAACGCAACGCCGGTATCCTGCGAGCATATCAGAGCGGTGGGCCTGATCTACATCAGGATCCACATCTACTGTGCTTAGTTACGTAACTCCAAAGTGAACAAAAGCGCGCGACTGGGTTGGCACTCCAGCCTGTGTCGTAATGTAATGCAGGATATTCCTAAATTGTGTTTGAACCCCAGGCTAATTTCGCCTTTATTATCGTCATTAAAGGCTAGGAATCTACTCCACCAATGTCATCCCCTACCGCTTGCATGATCTCAGACCAGAAAAATTTAATGTCAACCTCAAGGATAAGAGCTAACGTTTTGACCTTCTTAGAGAAGATACCTGAAAGCCCACGACGAGCGTACGGTTCAGCGGCGCAATTCCAAATCGCTTGAGCGACCAGTCCCGGAGGACTCCAAGACAAATTAAAGATATTGCGAGCGCCAAAGCCGGAGGTGGTTTATACCACAGCCCTCCGCCTACAACGCCTTTCTCTCGGCATCTAGATGAGGGTGTCTGGGTGAGCTTTTGCATTCGACATGCAGCCACAATGTAAGTTCTTCTGTGTAGGCCGAAAGTGAGTGTCAATCGAGAAACAACGTAGTGTTGATGTACATGGCAAATGTGACCATACAATCTCGCTCAATGTGTAATTCCTTTCGACCACTTCACAACGCCCTTGCCGTGGTATAAGAATCGAATGAAGTGCAGCAATAGTCTCTCATTACCATCAACCAAACAATTGACGTTTCTCAACGTTGTAATTCTCTAAACAATGGATGACACATACGGGGACATCACTGAGAAAGAAAAGCAGATGGTGGCAACCCTCGACATATTTTGCAAGATGCGCGGCGCCCAGTACCCTTTGCTCGCTGCGAAGATCCGGGAATTTGATGAAGAGATTGCAGGAAAGGAAGCCAAGTTATTCGCAATCAAAGAGGACCTGGGGTCCAGATTGGATGGTCTAACTGCAGTTAGAGCCGACTGGGCCTTTTCGGGAGACCTTCGCGATATGAAGGAAACCGTCACTGCTTTCGAAGACATACTCCGAGATATCAGGGATGTTAAAAGACGCCGCGCGACGTGGGTTACCAGGGTTCGTGAAATCCAGAAGTTTGACGAAATCCTCAAAGGCACAGCTGCCGGGATACCAACATATTGCGGACCATCCCTAGGAGATAAGGTCATCGCTCGAGCTATAATACCAGATCTCCGACGAGGAAGTCAATCGCAAAAGTCAATCTTGGACACCGCGCCGTCCAACAGCACTGCCACGGCAGACATCCCATCAACGGAGGAGTCATGACGCGCAACTCTGGGCATGACACCTCTGTTACCCATGGGTTTGGCTGTTCTGAGCTCTAGCACACACCAAATTGTATCCACACACGCATCACTTAGATAGCAGGTCCGAAAGGACTATATGAATTTAGTACTCAATGTTTCTTTTTGACTCTGTGCCACGAGTATCGCGTTGACCATGTTGCGTGATGTTGGTATTGATGCAAGGTAACAAGATAAGACCGCGATCGCTCGCCTCTCGAGACAATTATTCTGTAGACTTGCCGTTACGCCATCAATCAACGGTAAAACGTGCCCTTTGTTCGTGGATACATGTTCATTTGGTGGCTGCTCTTTATGATATGTATCATGTAGTTGATCAAACGTTATGTAATAATCCATGCAGGGATGCGCATGTAAAGTGTGTGTCACCATGTTTACAGACTACATTGCGTTCAACGCGCTGGAGTTAGCGAAGTTATGTGGCCCATATCAAATCAGGTCTCTCCCAAATCGAGCCCATTCGAGAAGCCGTCACGTCACTCGGTGTCAGGCGCTCATGCGATGAGTGGGCTACAATAGCAAAGGTAAGTACCTCTGGTTACTGTTAGCTTCCCGTGCTTCGCAACCACTGATCTTGATGACTTCATGCCCTTGGAATAAACACCACCTGGATTTCTTGAAGTGTGTGTGGAAGCACTTCATTGATGTTTCCTCGTCTCCAACTCAAGTCCGGGGCGCCAGCAGCGGCACCGCTATCGACAAACTGCCCCATTTGTAGGGCAAAAGCAAGTAACGTCTACATCGTGCACCGACGAAAGTGCAAATCAGGATACGAGTCGGCAGTTCGACGATCTGCCCTGATATGCGTCTGGGCGGTGATGCATTCTGCTCGTGTTATGTAGAACAAGAACCACAGTGAATCATCAAAGAGCCAGGAAGTCTTCGTCCGAAAGTGTATCGTCGGCGAACTCATCGACGTCCTCGTGGTCTTCCCTTGGGAGAGGTGATACGAAACCGGTGGATGTTGGCATCCCATCGCAGTGGACTGCATCGAGCGAGCATAGCTGCTCAATCGTCGCCGGGGCTTCGGACGGGGCGCCGACTACTATTAGACTGTCAGGGACGGGATATTCGTAATAGTCGATAGAATACTCACCCCTTGGATCTTCGACAAACGAGAATGTTGCGTATTGCTTTTTATTGGTGCCGACGTAGTCCCACTCATAGTAACTATTGGGTGTACTGCCCGTGTGAGTTGTGATATCTACACCAGAACATGCTGATACATACTGTTCCGATGTCGGAGTCTTCACCATACCTTGTGTACTTGTACTCATACAATATCCCACGAATGACGGTGTACAGCGTACTTGCACTTTTCCGTTCAGAGACTTGGAAGAGCAGGTAGACGCCAAGTCTGGGGTGCAGAGAACTTGAACGAAGGATGATGGGGTGCAGGGGACTTGCACTTCTGGCCCATTGTGACTGATGTCGTCTCTCGATGATATGACATTCGAGGATTGTTTGACCTCCACGACCAGGCGGCTGAAGCTCTCGAGATCAATTTTCTTGTCGCGAAAGGCCGTATCCATGAGTCGCCCTTTTGTCGCGTTAGCCTGATATGAAGATGGCGTTGGAAAGAGCATACCGATGCTCACGCGTTGTGACCAATCGAATGCGTAGCGTCGACCGAGACTATCGGTCTGACTGCTTGCGATCGAAAGATGGGAGCTTCCAGGATATGCATCGTAGGCTTGATTGCCATGTACGGTTTCGCGCTTGATTTCTCGCATCTCCAGAAGTAGAGACCTTTTACTACCCAATGCGGCAGGCATGACCGGGGGTGGGTTGCGTATTGCAGTGAGTATGTGTGAAGTGACGTCGGTGCAGCTTGTATGATAAGCGCGTGCTGGGAAAAGACCGCTCGAGCAGTATCTTTGGTGTTGACAAAGTAATAAAGAAAGCGGTTGTCGGATATCTGCCGAGCCCCTCCGTACCAAGCGCGGTTTCAATCTTTCACTGCTGTAAGTTACCACCAAACCTTAAGCAGGCGCATCAAGCCCCCGATTCAAGCACATGTGAAGTACGTATACCAAACCCATTAGCGGATAGAACACTCATGTTGCAGTCGACTGGAAGCTTGCAGCGAATACCTATCAAGAATTAGAGAATAGCTGACGCGCCCGTGTCGCAGCACCAAGACAAGAGAATTGGAAGGACGGCGCGAGATGAGACTGGTCTGACCCTTGACCTAAGTTCAAGAGTGTCGGTCAGAAATTCGACTTGACGTGGTCGCGGAACGGGATGGAAAGGCGGTTACTCTATGCCAACCGAAGCCATCAACGGATAAGGCCAGATTCGCCATCGTCGGTGCTATCATGATTTACATACGTTAATTGCAAACAGTTCGCAGAGTTTGGTAGTGGCGTGCGTAGTAAGAGGCTTCCGACGCGAGGGAGTAAAACGTCGCCTGGACTGGACGTGAATTAATTTATGTGTTGTGTAACTACATTCGTCGGCCACTGGGAGTGAATCCAGTGACTTTGTTGGGTGTACGAGCATAGCAGATCTGCTGATACAGTCAGCCACTGCAGCATGGTCTTAACTGTGATCTGTGGAGGCCTGTGATATGGGACTTACTGGCTAGCAGCTATGCACATGATGTACCAACAGCACAACGCGGGTATTCCATATCGATCACCGGGTGAATGTGTATAGTGTCCGCAGTACTGGTAAACCTCTTCATCCCCAGGCCGGCTGATAGCCAAGCGAAAAAGGAGCTATCCCGGAACTAACCAATTGGTCCAAAAACCAGCAACATTAGTGTTAGGCTCCGATGGTTGAGTCACCGCCGCTGAAGAGCGTTCGCCGATTTCATGAGTCCCGATGGTGAGTAGACTGGCCGACACGGAGTTTATTTTCGCGGTTTCCAGAAGGGGCGCAGGAACGTCAGCGACTGAATCGCGGCAGTGCCCGACATCCAAAAGCAGGATCTCTCCTCATCAGACTGGCAGTTGCTGGACACTTGCGAAACGCGTGCAGATGATGCATGATTGAAAGGCTCCCGAAAGAAGACGAGACGGAAGTGGTGTTGCCGTAGTCAGATCCGCACAGCCAATAGGGAGATGCCAAGCCCGCGAGTTCTGACGTCATCTCCGGAGATTCGACCTGGAGATGCTCACCACAACTTCTCCAACCACATCACTGGAACCGCGCTCATCGGACTCTGATCTGTGTTCTCGCATTGTCCTATTATCACTGTCATCAATGCGTACCTCATCACCCTTCTTTGCGCAAATTGGGACGCGCAGGGCTGAACCAGCTCGAGGCGGCGGGTACCCTGCTCTTGCGCGCCCGTTGCAATAGAGCGAACCGTGCATCCACATCTGCGCGCACAATAGTTTACGCAGGAGTCAGCGCTGCGCTGCATCCGGCGGCACCGATTTATACTCACAATGATCCCCAATATCAGAATAACAGCACCAGCGAGGACTTCGACCGGGGCTGTAGTAGGATCTACTGTAGGCTTCATGTAACGAGAACTGGCTCCTGGGGCACATCGCCAGGTCTTCACACGTTCAGCACTCGGACCCGCTATACCAGAGCGACAAAAGCGCATTTGGCCCACCACAGGCTGCGTTGGACAAGTGCACAACGCCCTGCCGACAAAGGGAAGTCGCTATACGAACGAGCGCTGACTTCTAAACTGTAACCCGTCATCTCTTTGCTAGAATCCCAATCTCCTGCGAAACCTAGGCCTCTCACCGAGCGTCGATGTCAACCGGCCCGCCCCCCTCAATCTCACGGTCCGAATCTGCTTCCCGAAACGCGAACGAGCTCACGAATCATGAGCATCTCGGAATTGCATGTCGCATTTGTCATTGTGACTGGGCATCCCGACTGAACAGACCACGGCGCTTCAAGAAGGCGACGGCGGGCAGCTCCAACAACAAAAGGCGCACCATCAGTACAGCTGCAGCGCACCAAGGGAGCCGACACGGTCGTACTCCTACAGCAGAAGGCATATTTTGCCGGAGCGCGGAAACGGCATCCGCAAGACCTCTGGAAAGATCTGACACAAGGAGATGGCAACTTGCTTGGCTGGTAAGTTACCCCGCCGTCTCTCTCCGAAGTCATATACTAACCATGCTGTTTGGCGCAGCTCTCAGCTCTCCTCATCCTCTCTCTTTCGCATGGAACGCTATCTAAGGCGATGCGACCGCGAACCACGGACACCACCATGTCTCCACCCTCTGCGAATAACCAGGCTTGTCTTCGTGATGACGCAAAGCTAGACAGGTTGCGATATCGATTGCGACGCTCGAATGTGACGGGTGCAAGGACAAACATCAGAGGAATCTTGGAGGACTTGCGGCTGTAGCTGCGACTTGGGCAAGCCCTGATACCTGGGCTGTCGCATGGTGCTGGCCATCGCTCGGAGGTCGAATGCAGGTTGGATTACCCTTCCGCTCCTGGGCATAACACGCCAAAGCCCGGCCACCGCTTTCCGAAACGTGGACGAGGCCCTCCGGTATAAGGGTGCATTGCGCCACGGTCAGCTCGGCCATAGTCTCCAAGAATGCATCTACAGCGCGACTTCGGGCTCATCACGTAGGCGTAAACGGAAGGTCAGGAAGTGGTGAAACTCGGCACGCACGAGGTAGTTTGAGCAGGCCTTCTTGCTCCACTGTGTCGTCTTTATGGCCTTGCAGCAGGTATTGCGCGTTCGTCATGAACGACAACTTACCGAATATGAATGCAGGATCAGGTTCTCCATCAATCGGCAGCTCCATGTCTGCTGCGCGATAGCCGTCAACCATGTTTACGTTCAGTCTGAATCTACCGAACAATATCACAGTATAGGGAGTGTAGCCATTCGAACATCAATTAGCAATCGTTACGGCGTCTATTTCACATCAATGAGCCACCCATTCGAAGCTCCAATGCAGCTTGACGACTCCCGCGGAACATACCTGTCATCGACCAAGCTCTCATCCACTAATATGATCGTGTAGCCAGACATGGGCGAACCTCACGCAACAAATCAGACGAGACTAAGCTCTATTTGCTTCCTTCAAGTCGAACGTGTGCTCGTACTTCGTCTTGTTCGTCAAAGCATGACGACTTTGGATGGAGAAGTTACGTAGACGCAACACGTGTCATCGTTACGAGAACTTGTTAGAAACAACGTGCTGTGATTCTGTACGGCCGAAAGGTATTTCTGGGCTTTGTACTCTTTTGTAACCTTTCCGGCATCGATCAGACCGCGGATGGCTCAGCGGCCAAGATGCCATCAATGGCGTAGAACTTTAGTCCAGGATGAACCTACACACTTTAATATACTCATAGCTTGATGCATGCCACTACTCTGTGTGTTAGAGCTGCCCTATTTCTACAGCCCTAGATCCATATCACCGCGCACGATGCGGCCGTCTTCGCATCCCATGAGCGGGGACCACTGCAGAGCTTTCAGAAGACTTGATTTAGTCGTTTTACTGCGCTCAATCATGCATGAGGGCTTCCAGGATCGAGATGAGATAGCTTCTGCCCGGATAAAATTGTTTGAAAGCTAGCCATGATCGTCGACGGCAAAGGACTGAGTTCACGTGATACTATCGCGCGATAAGCGATAAGCGGGGCCAATCGCGCGACGTCACTTACTCCTTGCTCACCACCTGTGCAGTCTCGTCCGATGCATCATAAAGCCGTTATCCCAACAATTCGCAACATTGGCGCCCTGCGAAAGCTTCAACTCGTCGCGATTGTTCCAACAGGTGCATTACCCAGGCCGAAGCCGGTATGGAACGGTCATCGTTCTGTGCAGCCGTGCCGGCACCCTCGTGGGCATTATCGACATGACCACCACCAGTGTAAGAACGTACAAGTTACCTCCAATGCACCATCACTGACCATGATTAGGACATCATCTTGATAACTGATATCAAAATCACTTTCCTCTCACTTTATATCTCCGCATCGATATTCTCCAAGACGAACCACACGCCAGCCACCGTAATCCACGACACGAACACCAAGCGCGACATCCCATGGCGCACGCTCGCACGCGCAACCGGGATGAGCCCGGCTACATACTACGCCGGCTGAGGATGAGGAGAAGAAGCCAGTGGAGCTTTCAAGGGATGCGGAGCCGCAGGATTGGCCCGGAGTGCTGAGAAGTCTGGAACGCTGGAGCACATCGCGCCTTGGTGGAACGCCGTCGTAGGCTGGATATGGCTGATGTTGCGAGGTCTATATGCATCATAGCGGACGCGCATCTTCAGTCTCCCCTGCATGGCGCCTGTTCGAGTAGCCATCGGATATCTAGTGATATCCCATTCTGACGGCACGAGGCAGGTCACTGTCTGAATCTCCCACTTCGCCATGCTAACAACGACAGGGTTACGCTCTTTAGATCGCGACGCAGCTGAGCTCGATTAGCCACCAATACCGCGCCCATGTCATAACCACCCACACCTCAATGGATGCCCGACGAACGAGACGACGCATATTCCAACGTACACAGCGTCACCATACACACGGGAAGGGGTGAGGTGTGACTGCGGCCAACCTATGTGCTGTACCATAAGAATATGACTGGACTTCACGCGGAGTGAGAAAGTCTTTTCAAGATGAGCTGTTCAGGTCGGATCGCGGCCCTACATCAGCGCAAGAGGACGGTAGTCTCATGCAAGATAACCGGGACGCAACAATTATCGCTATGGGGCATTCGTATCAAGTTTCGGCATGGTTATGCCATCGCGCAATGGTACATTAAACACAATTTCTGAGTCGCCTCGACCATTCAATCGACACCAAGTGAACGCGCACTCAATTTGTCTTATACAAAGCTTCAAAGATAGATCTAACTCCCCTGCTCCGCCAATCTTTTCACAGCCTTTACGCATACAACTTGATCCCCTCCAGGTTCACGCCCACTACCCGATCGGCGCACAGCGAGTCGAACAACTTTTCTCTCATATATTTGAGGACCTGCTTTGCTTCCAGAAGAGAGAACTGCTTTTCGACTGGGAGCTGGCCGTTGATGATCTTTAACACTTTGTCAAACGGTATTTCTTGAGCCTTTGGGTTCGTGATCGCGAACGTGTACAGACCCGTCCGAAAAGCACGGTAGCGCCCTGATTTCACCAAGCACCTTCTCCGCGGAGACTTATACCCATCGATGGGGGAAGAAGGCTCCGTGTCCGAGGCTTGCTCATCATCTTCGCTGGTAATCTCGACGGGGCTGCTGCTGCGCGAAGAGCCGGAAGGCACGTCTTCGTTCAGCTGGACACCTGCGGGTGTAGGTGTGGAAGGAAACGGAACGTCGGTTTCGCGATCTTGGTCGTTCATCGAGAGGGGCGTGAACGCTCTCACGAGACTCTGTTGACTCTTTGCGCTCTTGTTGACCGAAACCGAGCTCTTTTGATGTTGGGCGATCCCGATGTCATCATCACCGTCGTCGTCCATGCAGATGGGCGCGGCTTGCGTACCCTCAGCAAGATTATCGAGAGTTACTCGCGATTTCAGAGAGGTCGGCGTGATACGAAGCTGGCCATTAGTCCGGAAGCCAGCGGTCTTCTTTTCCTTCGGCAATACGGACGGCGCTGCCTACATTTACATCAGGTCCATGCTACCGGTAATGTCGATCTCCTCAACGCATGATACTCACTTTCTTGGGCAGTGGACGATTCTTGGTCTGGCCTTTTCGACTGCGTGGCGCCCCGTGTCCGGATCGCGCACCGCGTGTGCTCTTCTCCTTACTCGCCTTTGTAGAACTAGTCGCAGCTTTCGCATTCGGCAACAAGGACTATGTTGTCGATTAGAACATACTTGAAGCTGATGAAGCTGTCTGCTTACCGGTTTTCGGATTCTGAACCCGTACTTGCTCTACATAACCTGTTAACATCGAGTGGACTAATGGCGCACGAGGGGTCAACGTACCAGCGCCATGCTGACTGATGGGTTATATCAAGCAACGATACTCTTGAGTCTAATTGCAAGAGAAAGGACAACGAAAGAATTTGCTGGAACGCCATTTTATTGTGGAAGTGAACGCGCCAAGCAGAGATACCCCTGCTGTCGCCCTGGGTGGAAAGGCCGCAGGAAAAGTGAACGTGGGTCGGACTCGCAGGGCGAAAGGGAGAGCGCAAGGTGAAGAGTAATGTTCGGATAACCTAGAGCGACGGCCTTAAGATACTCCACACAGTTATAATACTGTCAATACCGCCCGACATATGAACTGCACGCTCGCGTGCACGGGGTAATGATAAAGGAGGTATGCAGTGTTCTCAGTATGTCAAACGGTTGGCGTGGAAGTCATAGTGGATCACTTCCGCACATTTGTTCAAGAGAAGCGTTCTTGGAGCGGTGACTGTGGTTTCCTCTGGAGCGAGAAAGCGCGCACGGATCAAGGTGCGGAGATTGGTATAGCGAGAGAGGGAGAAGAGGGAAACACCGGTGGGGCAAATCATGAGCGCCTAGGAGTCAAATTTGTTTAGGCAACAAGTCTATACGCACCATCCACGGCGACACGGCTCTGCGCTGTGATTCCTTAGCACGCGTCCTTATTGCGAATCACGTACTACGACCTCACGATCGACAGGCCAAATTCGCTCACGCAAATCATGACGTCCAAAACCTTGGAGCTCTCGGATATCTTCGAGAGTGCATGGGAGACTATCTGTGCGTCGCTTCCAAGGCTCCTGTTAGTAAAGAATGGAGGAAAGGGCACGACAAAGAGCAGCATGCGCCACATGTTCGAGGGTCATTTGGGGGAGTGGAACATCCAAGACGAGCTGGAGGACTTCTTAGCTGCTATCAAGCCAAGGTGAGTAGTAACCCTATATGAGCAGCATTGGGGACAAATACTGACCATCTACACCCGCGTATAGTTTCGATAACTGCCCACTCATGACGAACGTGAACACTCCGGTGATTCTTGTACATCATCCAATCTTCGTCACAGAAGAGGGGGGAACAATGGCGGCAGAAATCGACGTCGATGGGCGCATCAAGCAAAATCTGGCAACGCCAGTGCGAACGGTTGTACATGCGCTTGCAAGATGCAGATCCGAAGCCGATGCAATGCTCCTGCCCATTCACATTGAATACTCTAGGTAAGCCCACTGCGCGACATGCATGTGAAACATTCACTGACGTTGTACCCGCCGGTTCCCAGCTCTAAAGGTGAGGATGTCAAATCACGCCCGAAAGACCAGGAGCCCGACCTCATCCTCAATGTTTCCGACTCGAACGGCGGCGATGAGACAGTGCGCATCATAGGAGAATTCAAGATGTGCACGACTCATAATCTAGCCAAGATGATCAAGGATCCCGCCTCTAAAAGCGCAGGATCGTTGCGCAACCTTCTTGGTGAGTTATGACATGTCTCTGCGAGTCCGCACAGCATTGTCACACCAAGCATTGAACGTCCTCGATCGCGCTAACTCCCCATCACAGGGCAGCCCGCCAAGTATATGTACAAATACAAGATTAAGTACGGCATCGTCTCGACTTACAACGAAACTATCTTTCTCAGGATCGAACCGCGCAAATCCAATCCGGAAGAGTATGGTCTTTATTACTCGCCCGTCTTCCGCTACGATACCCCGACTTGTGTGGACGAGGGGACCAACGTACACACATTCGGTACCCGCTTCGCAACTCTCTTTATGTTACACAAGGTCGTCGATGATGGAGGTGAAGGCTGGAGGTTGAAAGCGAGCGATATTCCGAAGCAAGATGATTGGTACTCTCGGACGGTTGCTGCCGACACTCCCGCAGCAGCTGTAGGGTCGCCCTACCTCGGCAAAACACCACTCTTACCCTCCGAAACACCACCCTTACCCTCCAAATCACCACCCTTACCCTCCGAATCCATGATTCGGCGACTGCGTTCCAGGAATCAGCTCTCAAACGTTCTGACACCTATCAAAGAATCGCCCATGAAAGCTGCGAATGCGATCAAAAAGACGGTAAAAGGACTGAAAGACAACTTGAAGCGGTCCAGGGCACAGAACACAAAGAATAGCCCGTCACCAAAGCCCAGGTCTCCGCGCAAGGTCAGCTGGGCAAAGACTCCTCCCCAAAGTGCCGAGCATTCCGAGGCTACAGAGTCAGGGCGCAGTTCTGAGGTGGCTAATATCGACGATGGCGATGATAGTGAATACATCGATGATGGTTTTGACCCGTCTGACGATACTGATGGACCTGAGGAGCTCGATGAAGCGGGGACGCAGGCTGAGAACCTTGTTCGGCTGCGTAGGTTGGAACAGAGTACACCAACGCCACTAAGTAGAAGTGGAAGAGTTTATCATAGCTGAGCCGAGTAAGGCAGCTATGAATAATTTTCGGGCATGGAGAAGCGGTGAGAGATGCCCCAGCTATATGCAGAGTTGGAAGTCAGCACGGGCGCAGTAGGCGACACTGATCTGGGATATCGTAGTCAGCTTTGGAACATTAAATGACGGTTCGTTGAAAAGGGTTGGTGATACTTTGCATTCTCAAGAGCTCTCTCTTCGTATCAATGTATGTGAACAGATCTTAGGAGATATTAGTGGTGTATACCCAACAGTACATCTAAGAGGCCCAAAGTATAGGCAGCGGAGCGACGGAGTTCATGAGTAGATCTGATCGGCTCTCGTGTGCATGAATGGCACCTGGGTACTTACGAGACTCGCTGTTCTGGCTTACTCAATTGCGGCCCTCCATGATGATTACTAATTGGTTCTCAAGGGGAGTAGTACCTTTCTCGAGACTGCAATAATAACTCTTTGTTTAACACATTCAATATCAACTGCGAGACGTCTTGACTTCAGGCTCGAAAGCGGAGCCTTGAATTGGCCAATGATCACTGATCCAGGATGGCGCTAAGTCGGACTGAGCTAGTACCAGAGTTAGCGCATTTCCGACTGGAGCTTAGTCGGCCGGTGCAACAACACACTGGGGCCCTAACATCGGTCCACCTCTGCATCATTGTACACGCTGCAGTATTCTCCGTTCATATATCTCCAGGATGACCTCTCGTCCCATCTCCAACACTTCGAGCTCCTCCGGCGACTCTCACAAGCCCGAGAGTGATGTTGCCCCCAGTCATGCGAAAGCCCGCAAGCCAAGGCCGTCACCCAAGTGGCTGCGCGACAATCCATACGTCGGCAAAATCTTCCGCACCACCAAAGATGCGCGATGGAGGATACTCGCACCGCTATCAACGCTGGAGTTCCAGGATGACCACAGTCCCTGCGAAGCGCGCCAGGTCTACACATGTGTCTGCCTAGATGAGCCCTGGAAAGCCATCGGCGAGTGTGTAGTCAAAGTCAAGTTCCAGTAAGTAGCAGTCCTTAATCTCCTAGACATGTTAATAACCGTATCAGAATTCGCGCGAGTAGGCGTACAGTTGAGGAGTACCAGGAAATGATCGATGATGGCGAGGCGGAGCTACGTGATCAAAACGACACCAGAGGCACCAGATTGCCTGCATACAAGGATCACCTCAAGCTGTGCACCACGCCTACCACTTCACTCTCGAGTCCCGCGACAAGAAATGAGATAGAAGCTCTTGACCATCTTGGGCATGGAAAATGTCAGCATTCTCCCTGGCTCTGTGGTACGTCTGAAGGCACGGTGCGCCCGGGTTTCCATTATGAAGCCATAGATGGAGGCTATCGTGTCCTTATGCTCATGAACAAGTTGCCTGGGGTGACTTTGTCAATGGAAATGTTCTGTGAGATGGCTCCTGAGAAGAGGAAGGTTGTCCGAGAAGCCTTCAAAGTTGCATGGCTGTAAGTTTTCCTCTACCAGTCCCGGGCCTATCGTGCTGACCTTTCAACAGTGCCGTGGTGAAATGTGGGGTTGTGCCAATCGATCGTGGCCTGCACAATATCATGTGGGATCAGGAGACTTGCAAGTGGTAAGTAGGCTCCCTGTTTTCCATGAGTAAAATGCTAACGCTCGCATTGTAGTTACCTTCTCGACTTCGAAGAGGTTGACAAGCTTCGCGCGAACGAAATGAGCGCTCCCAGCCTAGAGGATGATGAGCTGGACATGTGGATACCTAATGAAGATGAAGTCGCAGAGTATTTGGCGTACTAGGATGATCGAGTTTCTTGCGTTGGTCAGTGGTCGACTGGGGGAGCGCCCGTGGTAAACGGGGTCAGACATCGGGCCGTTGTACAAGGAGCTTGGTCTTCAGCACATATCTTTGATCGTGATAAATACTCACGTATGTAAGCTGATCCATACAATTTCGATCGCATAAAGACACTGCCCGAAAACGCATCTGTGATGAACTCATGAAGTTCGAAATCGCCGCGGAAGTCTTCCTTTTCGGGTGCTAGCGCGGCCGAGAAAGCCCCGAGCCCAAGGCTCATTGAACGCCGCGTCACCACCTCGCCTTCTCCTCCTCAACTTCCAGCACTTCCCTGGCTAAGGAATTCCGCTCTCAGCGACTCGTTGTGAGCCACCAAACGACACTGCAACTGCTCTGATGTGCTGAATCTAGTTATGCCTTCTTAGACAGACATTAGTTATTAATAACCTTCTATTGTAATTATAAACTAATTTATTAATAAACTACCTAGGTAAACAGCTTACTTTATATATTATTTACCTACTTCTAAACGCTCTATCTACTCTTAACTAAAACTAAATACTTCTCTTTAAGAGTAGCGCGCGTTTACTAATAAATTATTTTACCTTTTACTTTTTAGTAGGCAGTAAACCTTAGAGCTTATACTATTCTTTAGCTTTAACTTTCTTAAATATCTACCTAAGTCTAATACTATGCTAGAAAGTTTTAAATAGCTATTTAACTAGAGGCTTTATAAGCCTATTAGTAAGGTTTACCTTACTACTTACTTATTCTATTTAGATTAGACCTTTTTTAATCTTCTCTCTAACAAAATAGTAGTAAATATTAATATACTTAGTTCTAGTATAAAATATTAAGTTCTTTACTAGAGTAAGAGCTTCTTTATTATTACCTAGAATTTTAACTAGTTAGAGAGCACTACTAGTTAAATAGCTAAGTAATTATAGTAAGGTACCTAGCTAAATAGCTTCTTTAGCAGCCTCTAATTTAGTAATATACTTAGCTTTATAACTTAATAGCGCTACTATAGCTTATCTTTTTAAACTCTAGCTAATAGCTATACTATTTAGAAAAAAGATATAGCCTCTAGTAGAGCGCCTATTAATCTTCTTACTCTAGTTTGTATTAGTGTATCTAACTAACCTACTACTTAAATTTAAATTAATTTTAAGCTTTATATTAGTAGTACTCTTTAAGTACCTAAGTACTCTTTTAGCTACCTTAAGGTATTTCTTTAATAGATTAGCTATAAACTAGCTTAGTTAAGAGACTAAGTAGGTAATATCTAGCTAGATATATAGTATTAAGTATATTAGAGAGCTAATAAGTAATTAATATTAGCAGCGCTTTTAAGTTATTACTATAAGAGTATTAAGCTCTAGAACTAATTTATTATCTATTAGTATAGTCTTTAGAAGAGTGCTAGCTACCTCTAGGTTAAATTTATTTATAATTTACTAGGCATAAGCTCTCTATAATAGCTAGAGCTTTAAATATTTACTATCTTTTATCTATTTTTAGCTAATTTTAATACCTAGGTAGTAAGAAGCTTTACCTAGGTTAGTTATTTAAAACTAGCGTTAGAGCTTTCTCTTAAGATAATTAATTACACTATAGTTATAGTAGAGAATAAGTAGATTATTAATATAGACAGCTATAATAATACTAGCCTATTTATTACTAAAAACGCTATAATTCTCTATTAAAGATTTAAATTCTAGAGCTTAAAGAGTAGCCTTTAAAATAGCGTACTAGATTCTAAAGGCCTATTTTAGGCTATAAAGCGCCTTACGCAGATAGTAAACTTAGCTAGAGTACTAGTTATAAAAGTTAGATAGTAGCTTAATATAGACCTTAGCGTCTATATTACTATATAGAAAGGTAGTTTTAATATCTATTTATTTAATATACTAGCCTAAAGAGTATACTAGTATAAATAAAGCCTTATAGCTTATTAGCTTTACTATAGAAGTAAAGGTTTTATTAAAATTAACCTTATATTTCTACTTAAATCTATAGATAACCTAGTAAGATTTATAGCGCACTAGCTTACTATTAGCGTCTACTTTTATCTTATAAATATATTTACTACTTAGAACTAAAGCTTTATAGAGAAGGTTAGCTCTATTAATAAGCTGCTAGGTATTATTATTAGTTAGAGATTTGCACTTCTTAGCTATTAAATTAAGCTAAAGATAACTATTCTAGCTACCTATAGTAGTATTATAGTTTTTTAGTTTAGTAATATAGTATCTAGTTTTATTAAGTAGCGTAAGCTAGGCCTAGTTCTAGTGCTTCTTAAGAGAGCTAAAAAAGGTAAGCTACTAGATAGTAGTATTATAGTTATCTAGTAATTAAATTTAAGCTAGTACTTTACTAGCTAGAGGCTCTCTATAGAAGACCTAAAATTTATTATTAAAATCTCTAGTCTAAGAGACTAAGAAGTAGTAGGCTAAAAGAGGTAGTTACTAAAATTAACGCTCTCTCTTAAGCTAAGTAGTAGCCTTATTATTAAGAGAAGTAATTTTAGTGCTACTATTATATACTATAACTAGTATAGATAGTAGCTTACTTAAGTAGATATCTTTATAAAATAGAAGGTTACGTGCTAATTTAATATAGCTCTTATTACTATTCTAGACCTAGTATAGATTTTCTATAGACTAGTTTAGGTACCTAAGTAAGTAATAGCGCTTAGTGTAGTTACTAAGCTTTTTTAGAAGCTTACGTAGTGTTAGTTTCTAATATTTACATCTAAGAGCGTAAAGCTAATTTATAAGTAGCGCTAAGCTCTAGAGCTACTTATAGAGTATTAAATCTTATAGATTAGCTAATATTAGTAAAAGATTTACTAGCTACACTATAGATCTAAAGACTTCTCTATAGTAGACCTCTAGTAAGTTTAAGTAAGAAAGAATAGCGTAAATATAAAAGCTTATAATACTTATACTTTACTCTAAAACTCTATTCTATTTAGAGTTATAGAGCACTATTATCTTTTTTATAATATCTAAATTATTATAAAAGATATTAAGCTCTCTATTAATAAATTTAGTACTATTATTATAGTAAAAAGATTAGATAATAATACTAAAAGTAGTTTAAACCTAGGCTACAAAGCTTTTAAGCTTTATCTAGGTCTCTCTTTTACTTTTTATAATATACACCTAGTAATAGTAGAAGTAATTATCTATAAGTAAGAGGCTATA